CACAGTAAACACAGAGAACTGGGGAAGAAGACTGGCAATGCCCAGTAAAAAAAAAAAAAGGCCCTGAATTTCTGCATACCTTGAGAGGGCATAAGGTGTTATCATAGTCTTAGATACCAAATGCTGTACCTTTACAGTGTGATCATCTGCAGCAGATGCTAACCACTTGCCATCAGGACTAAATCGGAGACACTTAACAGCTTGTGTGTGACCCTACAAAGACAAAACACATACAACATACACTTTTTGGGGGGTCTTGGTAGAAAATCCCGTTTTCCTCTCTCTATTTTATATTGTCTCTCTAATATATTAAAATCAGCAATGCTGATTATAGTATTATGGACTCCAGTCTGCAAAACAATAAAACCCTGCCTGCGTTCAAGTCTGCATGAGATTTAAAAAAACTATTTGGTGCAGTCCCTTGGATGAAAACTCAAACTGATTTAAAAGTAGGTGATATCAATTAACACTGATGTAGTTAAACCGGAGCAATTTTTCAATAGACCCCAAGGCCTAAGAATTCAGAGACTTTAAAAGGCAATCCATCAGTTTGGTATGAAGAGACAAAAAAGGGGCCATGTGTCAGCCAGCCTACAGTCCATGTATCCCAGGGGTGGGCAAAATACGGCCCACGGGCCAGATCCAGCTCGTGAGGCCATTCTATCTGGCCTGCGGGGCCCCTAAAAGAATTTGGAAAATTAATATTTTTCTGCCCTTGGTTCTTGTCAAAAATGACAGGAAGGAAGGGCAGTACCCAGGGGAAGCCCAGCAGGCTCCAACAACAGCGGGGCCACCCGGCTCCACACCCTCAGCTAGGAGCGCCAGCTTGGGTTTCTGGGCTGGGAGCACGTGGCTGCCCCGGTGTGGGAAGCTAAGATAAGTGGGGGCGATGGGATCCCAAGCAAGGAAGGAGCGGCCCCTCCACACCCACGCCTGGTGCCCTGCACTGCAGCTGCTTGCAGCCTGCATGGGGCTTCCTGTGCCCACTCCGGACAGCCCCATGCAGGCTGCAAGCACCTGCAGCATGGGACACAGGCCATGGGGTGCCGGGCATGGGGCTGGGAGGGGCTGCTTTCTCCTGCCCCCCCACACTCAGCACCAGCTTGTAACCTGGCCCCACTGACAAGCTGGCACTGGGCCTGGGTTACAAGCTGGTGCTGAGCACGCGGAAAAGTGGCCCCTCGCCTGCCCCATGACCAGTGCCTGGGGCTGCCTGTGCCTGCACCAGACAGCCCCGTGCAGGCTGCGAGCGCCTGCAACGCGGGGCGCCAGCAATAGGGCAGGTGAGGGGCCACTTTTCCCCACGCTCAGCACCAGCTCCTTACCTGATGGCGAGCAGGGGGTCGGGGCTGTGCGCTGCCTCCCACCTGTACCGTGGGGCTGGAGGGCACTGGGTGTGAGCAGGCGGGGAACCAGTGGGAGCACGGGGCCTGCACCAGTGTCTTGGGGCCAGTGCCGGTGCAGCCCAGAGCAGGGTGGCAGGAGTGTGGGGTCCCAGCTGGCAGGGGCTCTATGGAGCCGGGCCAGCTCCCCCCTCTACCTGCTGGTGCAGCCCAGGCCGGCTCCAAAGATCCCTGCTAGCCTGTGCCCCACTTTGGGCCCCACCGGTGCTGGCCTTGGGACATTGGTCTCAAGACATTGGGACGTTGGTCCCAAGATGGTGACCAGGGGGTGGAGCACCTGTCAAGGGGTGGGGCACCTGTCAAGGGGCGGGGCTACCCATGCGGCCCTCAACAGCCTGCCAAAACTGGGTAAGTGGCCCTCCACTCAAAATAATTGCCCGCCCTTGATGTATCCCTATGATAATATTTCACATTGCCTTTCTGTTCACTAAGGCTCTCTACAGGAGGTCAGGCCATTTATAGTCAAGACATGGAGTGCACAAGTCATGGAATTTCCTACAAGTTAATTGGAGATGATCCTTTCCCCCTTCTTCAAAGAACAGTGAAGCACCCTACCTTGTACCTGAAGACACAGCCTTTCCTTCTAATATCCCAGAGCTGAAAGGAAGAGAAGAGAAGCAAAAATAATATAGCCTTAGGACTAGAGCTGTGAAAGACTCTGAAACATCATAGCAGAGCTACAACTCTCCATATTACAGCATCTATAAACATTGTAGAATGGCTACGGGAGAGGCACACAGCAGATGAATGAGCTATTACAAAGTCCATGCAAGATACTTCCTGGCATCCACACAAGTGGAAGTAGCACTGAATCCTTCTGTAGCCTTTAGCTGTCCAAGGGAAAGCAAACATTGACAAAACATATCATGTTATGAAAATTAAATTCCTGGTGACACATGCAGACTTAGCCGAATTGTCGTTGCTCCATTTATTTTAATGCAATCGCACCTACTCATACCAGGTGTGGTTTGGCCTCCAATACTGGGACTTGAAAAGTTAGCCACATTCCATACGAGATGAATCAGACCCTCATTAGGATACATTGCAATTATAAAAATACAAGCAGGAATTTCTAAAAGCACAAGTCCATACAGATGCAAAGGATGACTTATGAGCCTCCACTAATGACAAAAACAAAACAAAACCATCTACACCCATCCAACATAAAGGCAGAGAAGAAGAGAGAGTATTTCCAGAGAAAATCAGCTTTACCTTAATGTTAGTGTCCAGAGACCCTGAAGCTACGAACTTTCCAAATGGATGGAAATCAAGGCTACAGATATTTGCTTTGTGCCCCACTAGTGTACGAAGAACTGCAAAGAGGTAAGTGGCAGAGAAAGAGAACAAACAATTAGAGCTTATTTTCCCCCCAGAGAAAGCACAGAAATTCAGCCATTCTGCCTTCAACATTAGGCACGCACAAATATTGTATGTTGGCCATGCTGTACACAGGCTGTTCATCTACATCATTTACAAGACAAAGCAACAGTACCAGATGGATTGTTCCCAGACCAAGGGTTCAGCATCGCTTGCTGTAATTCTTGAAGTTAGGCACAGAAACCATTCACAGTGGTCAAAGAGCTACATGCTGTAAATGGAAAAATCACCATGCTAAAATAGCTAGCCAACAGGGCTGTGCGAAGCTTTGGGTGCTGATTCAATTCAGAGATTTGGCTCAATTCGGTGGCCAAATCTCCAAATCCAAATTGAATCAGGAGACCAATAAAAAGGTCCAAATTGATCTCAAGTTCTTTGAATGGATTTGGAAAAGAGTCAGAGAGCTTCGGAGATTTGGGCAGTCCCCATTCGCTGCTGCAGGAAGCTGGACCTGGACTCCGTGCCCATAAGCAGGGGGTGGGGGTAGTGGGGGCTGGAGGAGGGGGGAGGAAACCATGGGGCCCAGCCCCAGCTCTCGATTCTTTAAAAAAAAGCTCCACTCAGCAGCAGCCTTTGGGGCTTCCAGGGGCTCGTGGCAGAGCCCCCCATGCAGTGCAGGGCAGTTGGAGGCAGTAGGGATCACCCCCCGAATTGGCAGCAGCTGGTCAGTGCTGGGCTTTTTTTTTTTTTTTAAAGAGCTGGGAGACTGGGGCTGTGCGGGGTAGCCATTGATGGGGCTAGGAGAGGCAGCAGGGGATGGGGCCTGTTTGAATCTCCAAATCAGATTTGGCCACATCGATTTGGGACAGCGACTGAATCACTGAATCAAATCACTGTCCCCTGAACCGGCCAAATCCAAATCCAAAGCAAATACCAGCCACTTCGCACAGGCCTACTCGCCAACATTTATCTGTTCATGAGAAGATAAAGGGACATTTCAGTGGCCATTATATTGTTTTCTAGGGCACACCCTTCCACATGACTTTGTGTCTAGTCAGCTGATGCACAAATCACAACTTCCACTATTGAAGCTCTAATATTAGCTTCCTCTAGTGATATTTAATGGTTGGTGTTGTATGAAGATAATGTAAAGAGAGAAGAAGGATGCTTAGGAGTCAGGCTGTCACCTTGTAACTACAATTCAGAAGGAAATCTC